GAAAAGATCCAGTTTGACAGTCATGTTGTTGCTGTGACAGTGATTTTCGTTGCACACCCGGTGAGAACAACTGGACTAAAGGCCGTCAAAGGCCATGATCTACATAAAATGTTAGGGATGTCCAGTTGGAAATTAGTGCAGTTTGTGCAGCTGACAAGTATTTATATCATATTTTCCTAGCGCCCTGGTCTTTTTGTTCTGTTGGTGCCGTCCAGGTTGGGGCGGCAATCGCCTGCAAAAGCGAGCCAAGGCCCCGGGGCCAGGAAGGTGGTCATTCTCGGAGGGACCAAACGCAATCCGAAGGAGAATCCGAACTTCTCATGAAGACTTGAGTGACGTCCTTTGAATCCTAAGAAGGCATTTTTGAAAATTGATGTTGACTGACTTTCACCATTTTTCATTAGGTTTCCAGCCCAAGAGTTTGGCCATCCCGGGCCCCATCCCTCTTCCTTCTCCGTCCCGATGAGTGGACCGTCCGAAAAAACTGCAGTCTTGAGTCACTTGAGTCTTGAGCATTTTTGATGGTTGACGTTGACCTTGAAGATCGTAGAAAGATGTTATGCTTTTTAGTAGGAAAGGGATGGAAGGGAAGTATTTTGATGTAGTTGGGAGTCCAAAATAGGGTCACGCAGGTGCTAGTTAATGAGCCCGGTCGCTCTCCTGAAGCCATTCGGACCTATCGGACAACCGTTTGGATACTGGTTCTGCCCAGTTCACGGACAATCTTCAGGTGCAAGAAAACAGTTGTCTATGCGATGATATGCGTTGTCAGTGTGCACCTCCGCCGCTGTGGCGCCCAGGCGCTCCGCTGCCACTCCGGGGGCCGCCGGCTCCAGCGCGCCAAGCCTCTTGGCGAGTCATCTGGGCGTCCACGCACTGCTTGGCGTCGTATCAACGCACGGACTCCTTGGGGTTTATGTATCACGTTTGGTAGGTCTATCCTGCGCCATCACCCCCGAAACCCCAACTCGATGACCCATCTTGAGCACGGGGAACTATGGAGGCCTGCTGAAAGGGATATCCCCTCCTTGCAAATTCCAACTTTCTAGTTAGTGAGGTTGCCACTTGGCTCTGGGCTACAGCCCAACATGTTCAGCACCCAGCGTTTGGGAAACAGCAGGCAAAAACCTGTAGGTCACATCCACGTGTACAGCCAACCACATTTATAGGCCGGACCCCAAAAGCCTTCGAAGCATACCCTTTGTTGCGAGGTCCGTGCCCAGCGGCTGCCAAGCCCCCACGAGGTGGGGCAAAGAGACGCTTGAAATGGCATGCCCAGCAAAAAGAGTCGGATGTCAACAATAGATTTTGGGGGGCTTACGCCCAAGAGCGGGCCAGCAGGGGGCCCAGCGGCAGGCAGAGGCAAACAGGTGAGAGTGCTGGTTGTGGTGGTTGTTGTGGTTGGTGTTGTGGTTATGGTTGTAGTGTTTGTTGCTGTTTTGATTGTGGTTGTGGTTGTGGTGGTTGTGGTTGTGGTTGGTTGGTTGGTTGGCTGGCTGGCTGGTTGGTTGGTTGGTTGGTTGGCTGGTGGGTTATGTTGTTGTTGCTTTGACCAGAAACATAACCAGAAAATGCCAATAGTGCGATGCAACTCGGGCGGCAGAGCTCGCACCGTGGGGCAATCTTAGGCCATTTTGAAGAAGGGAGCTGCCCCCCTGCCGGAAAGGGTCCCAGACGGTAGCTTCACAATCCACTGACAGACAGCCGAGAGCTCGCGACATTGTAAAGGCAAAAATTGGCATCGAAGTCCCCAACAATGAAATAAATAAAGCTACTAGTAACAAGTGCATCGCTTCTAGTAACAAGTGCCTTACTAGTAGCAACAAGAAGCTAAGGCTATTAGAACCAATAAATCCTATTAGAATTATTTTAAATTGCCCCAACGTGGGCGCTCGCCTAGATTCCTTAAGCCGATGCTGTGACGTGAAGCAAGTGTGAACGACCGTGAGAAGGCCGTCCGAGGACGGCCGTGAATTGATACTCTCCGGTTGGTTCATATCGCGTCTTGAACAAGTCTGCTTGTTTGGCGTGGCCAAACAAGCAGAGTAAACATCATGCGCTCAAAGTGGGATGTGTGCAACTTATAACATCTTATAACACCACATGGCCGTTGGGCCACAGGGCCAAACTTAGCATGGCCTTTAGGCTGGGGCTGCAAAGGTCCTAGAAGGCACCTTTGCCACACCCTTACCCTTAGCCCATATATAGTGTTGCACGTAATGGCCGGGAAGGGTCCCACACGGCAGCCGCGAAACCCAATGAAAGACATGTGGCAGCTGCCCACGCAAAGGTCCCAGGCGTTAGCCAGGCCAGGTTGGCGGAAACTCTATAACATGTAGATACATCATCGGATATCATTCTGACAATTTTTTCACTTTCACTGCTTAACAGTCACGCCTTGGGATTTTCTTGCAAGCGGTTACGCTTCGTGTGAGAGGAGTATCAAAGAAAGGGGTTCAAACAACACAGGATTTTTCCCGAAGAAGAGGCATGTTGTCGTGTTGCATTGTAGTTGAAGATCGTTCACTACCGAGTTCCGCCGATTTCTCCGACGAGAGGATCCGCCGACAATTTTGCCATCGTGGTTGTGAGGTGCTCTCGTTATGGCTGCATTGGCTGGAGAGGCTTTGGCGGAAGGGCACCAGGCGGGAACTTTCATGGCTGGATCCCAACGGCTACCTACCCCCATAGCCATAGCCATAGCGGTTCTGTGGAAGAACCGTTGATTCTCACGATGTTTCAAGCATCCAAACAGAAAGTCATTTGCGCAAATTCGATCCGCTTAAAAGGAACGCGGGCCAGCGCAGCGCAGTGGCCTTGAGGCTGGGAGATGTGGAATGTGGAAGGAATGTGCGATTGGACAACCAGGATTGATGGTGGAAGGAGACCCCAAGATTATGGAGGAAGGAGGTTTTGTATATTCGCTCGAACATGTTCGAACATTTCGTTGGAGGGGGCGTTTCTGAATTGTCCGCCAGGAGTATGACCGCACGGTGCATGAGCTGATGTCTCGGGTGCTTGGCCGTTCGGAGGATCTGGGTTCTCCAGGACGAAGCGTCCTGGAGCCCGTGACTCTGCATTGAGGGACGCATTGCGTTCCTCGCCCATCCAGTCGCCTGCGGTGGCTGCGGCCGCAAGGCCCAGGAACGATCAGAAACGAAGGGAATCGATCTCGGAGATTTGGCACAGGATGTTTGAGTCTGAATTAAGACTGGATGCCAACACGGTATGCAGCCTGACGCTTCTGAAAGTGAGGCAAAAGGAAATGGCAGAAAGCACACGGTGTTTATTGTTGTTTTGGTGTTTGCACTGAAACGCAGGTGTATTGCGATCAGCTGTTCTGTCCGACAGGCTTGAAGTAGGTGGAGGCAGCAATGTGTTGAATACAAACTCAAAGATGCAATGGTCCGACAATCTCAAACGTTATTTGCTCTATGACGACAACTTTGCTCTTGGTGTGGCCGAAGCCAATCCGTTCCCTCCTGGTTTGATGTCAACCATCAAATGCAGACACGCACATACACACAATAATTAGCCTCTCAGGAGATGAGGGCAGAGGTGAGGCTGCTAGTTGTGTAGGATTCTCAAAATACATGCCACATATTCGCGGGTGGATCATGGCCAATGTAGTTTGGGTGGATACCAAAGGCGACAGAGGTCTGTTGACGACACTTGTGATGGAGACCTCACTTTGCACAATGCAAACCAAACAAGTGCGTATGCAGGCAGCAAGCCAAGCATTTTCCGAGGCAAGCTCGCTACGCGCTTGCCGAATCTTTTTGGAAGCTGCCCCGATCAAAAACACCACCAGCCTCGCTTGTTGGCAATCAGTTTTGACTGGAACACAAGCATGCTTGCAGACTGCAGCTTGGGCCCGAGAAATACGGCCGCCAAAGTGGCCTATGATCGCAGAGCAGAGCAGAGCTTCGTTCGACTTTCACCGACCTGACGGTTTGTAGCTCACGGCAAACATCATAAGCTGGGACAGCGCCATGGCGGAAGTGTGTGAACAAACCCGGATTGAGGCGAAATGGGCAGACGAGGAGCTTGAAAATTGGGGAAGTGACAAGTTTTTGCTGAAAGTCAACTGAGTTGACTTGGGACCACTGTTGAATCTTGAAGAGCCAGCTCTTGGGAGCACAACAAATGCCGAATCAAGGGACCTGAGGGATGCATGAAGCAGAAGAGGGATGGTGTTTTTCCTGAGGATTAGGATTTTGACAAGATATTATATATATATTACAGATACAATACTGTACTATAAAAACATATAGTATATAGGAGCAGTATCTAATTTATGTTTCTTTTCGTTTTGTTTTTGGATCTTTTTATTGTTTTTCTGTGCTTGTCTTGCTTTTCCTTGCTTCTCCCTGCTTCTTTGCTTTTGTTTGCTTTTCCTGCTTTTCGGCGCTTGTGTTGCTTTTCCTTGCTTCTCACTGCTTCTGTGCTTTTCCTGCTTTCCTGTGCTTGTTTTAGGTTCTCGGCTCCCTCGCCGCCCGACCACTCATTTTTTCGAGGTTTGACACCCTTTTTTGGGGGGTGGGTCGGTGGGTGGGTGGGTGGGTGGGTGGGACAATGACGAACAATGTTGATGTTTTGGTTGACATGTGCAACCAATGTTGAGGTTTTCGTTGACATGTACAACCGATGTTGATGTTTTGCTTGACCAGTATGAACGATGTTGATGTTTTGGTTGACTTTTTTGTGTTTGGGACTACCTTCGTGTGATTACACCAGTTACACCAGTCGTTCGGAGCTTTTGGGTTCAAGCATGCGCAGGTTGAGTTTGCGTGGTTTACTTTCGTTGTGTTAGGTTTTGCTAATTCCAGGAAACCTACGTTTCGTTTAGTTTCGTTTAGTTTAGGAATTAAATTTGTTTGTCGGGATTTGACTCTCTTTTTTCTTGGCCCGGTCCTTTGTTTGGTTTCTTTGTTTGTGACCCCCGCTACTTGGACGACTTGTTGGATCTAGGCACTACTGACGTTTGGGTCGCTTTGTCTTTGCGCATAGCACTAGATTCACATCGGTTTTTGGACCTAGCGTTTAGAAGTTCAGACTTGTTGAAAGATTGTTGGGATCACATTTGGTTACGTTATCACAAGGGTTCGATTCCGGCAGCATTGAGGAAGCTGGCGGAACATTGTGCCATATGCACGGACGTTGCAAAAAAGCTACCAAAGCTCTTGTAAGCTAGACATGTCCAAGAAAAAATGGTAGCACAAGTTTGTTAATCACAAGAAGCAGCAGCTCACCAAAAAGGTGAAGGGTAAGAAGCGGTTGGCTGGCACGCAAATGTTGGATAGAATGTGGTCCTTCGCGAAGAAGTTCCGGCCTTCTTTTGCAAAGAAGCCGACCGCTGCAATCCACCTTTTATGCGTACGCATGGCAGTGGCACAGAAATGTGCGTGTCCTGAGCCTGGACAGGCCTAAAGAGGATGGCGGAAGTCCTGTGGCGACGTTGACACTTGCGCGGATGTCAGCTCCGAAAAAGTAGGAGTCGCGTAAACGCACAAAAGCCTTGATTCTCGCTGTGGGGAGACACACAAATCAAGACCGGACTACAATCAGAATAAGGGTCTTCAAAACACTGGGAGGTTAACAAATCTCATGTACAGGGTCAAAAAGCATGAGCCACCCTTGCACGGGCGGCAAGAGAGCCGTGAACTTTGTTTTTCTTTTCCTTGCTTCTTTGTGAATCCTCTTTCTTTCCTTGCTTTTGTTTCTTTTTGTGCCTTCTTTATTGCTTGGTTTGTTTTTCCTGCTGTTTCTCCTGGTTGGCTTTATTTTGTTCCTTCTTCTCGTCGTTTGTGGCGTAGTGAGTCTCTTTGATCTTTGGTTAGTTGATGCTGTCGCTTTTGAGGGGTAGGTATCAAAAACAAGTACAGTAATAAGCATCAAGAAACAATGATACGCATCAAAGAAATAACAATGCTAATACGTATAGAATTAAAAAATTGCCTCTCATCCAGTGGTTTGCTGGTTCCCTGGTCCCTTGGTCCAATGGTGCCCTGGTCTCTTGCTCCCCTGGTCCCTTGGTCCCCTGGTCCCCGGTCCCTTGGTTGGTCCCCTGTCCTTCTGATGCTACATAGGTCCTTTGGGCACGTGCGTCAAAAAAACTAATGTATTATCAAGTCATCTTGTTGCGTATATTTGTGAGCCCAAAACGGTTGTTTTTGCTGCTTTTTGTGCATTCTTTCTTGCTCGGCTGTTTTTTTCCTGCTGTTTCTCAGAGCTTCCTTGCTTTCCTGCTTGTGTTTCTTTGTTTCTTTGACATAAGACTTAAATGTTAAGATCAGCGCTCCGTGCTTCCCAAAGTGCACTCCTGGTTCACATAACGCGGCTCACCGTGATTTACCCGTGCTAACCCATGATTCTTGAAAAACATCATTTTTGGAAGAACCCTATGTTTTCAAACCCGTGATTGACCTGTGCTAAACCCATGACTTACCCGTGCAAGCCCGTGAAGGAATTCACGGGCTTGAGGTCAGATGCCGAACTGACACCCGTATTCTCGATACTCAAACAAGACATTGCCGCATCAGTATGCACGTGCTCAAATCCAAAAAACGATGAAAACGCAACCCCCGGGTTTCCAGTGAAAACCCCGGGTATTTGGAGAACCCTAGGTTTTCTTCGCGTATTGGCTGTACAGGCATATATATATATATTTATATCATCTGATATATATATATACACACATTTTTTCAGAATTCCACCAGGCATCATGGAATCATGTACCGAATGCGTACGATGTTCGTTCGCAGGCTGTGTTGGCACAGCAGCGCAGCTTCATGGATACCTGGGGTGCACAGTGCCGCGCCCGGCGGAAATTGCGAACGGAAAAGGGCGGGATTGGCCACCGCAAAGCGAGAAAGGCACATGACATGCAGCAGGCTGCGTGGACGTTCTTCTTGACGAGAACCATTTTGGCTCTCACATGTTTGAGACGTGACATGATTATGTTGCCAAACATAGGCAGTACCGTACTTTCTTTTTCCGTGTTGCACATGGGAGCATATGTTTGAAAGTAGCATGAATCAGATTGTTTTCTTTATGCTGAAAAAACTAGGAAACTGCGAAGATATACTTTGCAATGATTGAGAAAAACACAGAAATCAAAAACAAGCAGCCCAAAAAAGGCGTAGATAGGATTAATTCGGATAATATATATATATATGCACAATACATACACATGCACACAGTTAGCCGAGGCTGGAGCAAATGTTGCAGATGTGTGTCCTGCTGGTGCCCGTCCAGGCAGGATGGGATGCAATTGGTTACCATAGTCTATGTGTCAACGCAACAACTCGGCTTCTGCTTGGACTTGGAACACTTATTCATGGAAGTGTTGCCTGACATCGAATTTAATATCCCCATGCAACGTGCCAATTAGATGATGTATGAAAGACGCGTGAGTCTACTGTGCGCTTCGTGGTTTGCTACTCCTGTTTACTGACAAGATGGCGATCACCAGGAAGAGGATGATGACAAAGCGGGATTTTGGAGCCAGGCACGCCCAGCTAGAGGGGCCGCCCACACTGTTTGGAACAAACGCAAGTGGAACAAACATTAGTGGAACAAACATTGAGAGAAACCATGTTCGAGAAACCAAGTGCGATTATGTTCAGCAGAAAAGTGAAATGAAAAGCACGCCTCTCCGTGTTCTGTGCATGGCTGGTAGTTCTTTGATGTTAGTAATACTTTGCATCTTCAAACCTTTTGGCAATGAAAGATGCCCTAAACAGGTGGTCTACTCCGCCAGCGATCTTTTTAACTTGTGGGCCTCTTAGATGTGCGAAGAGCCGAGTGCCCGTCGAGCGTGCCGGTCGTCCGAAGGGCTGCACCGAAGCGTTGGAAAACGCACCGAACCCAGCGTTTCGTCCTATCGGTTCGTACCGAAACGTTCCGTATTTCTATAATATAGGGAACGCGATGTATATTGTTTCCAACACTTTGTATCCAAGAAAATCACCGGCGGATCGAACAATCAACAACATCTAGATTTT